CACGATAGAAGACGGCAATGACGTAATGTTTGCCGTTTGTGATCAGCTGCTTATTTTAATCTTTTCATCGAAAACAAAAATATAACCTTAATTACGTCATTGCCGTCTTCTATCGTGACGTCACGCTTGACGAGCATTACGGCCTGTTTTTTTAGCGTGGCCTTGACTACGTGCTTGCATCCGATATGAATGGGAATTTAAACTAGTTTTAAATTTCATGTAATTAAAGTTAGTATTACAAATTATTTGAATTGTTGAAGTGTAGGTAAGTACTTACCCGGTAAATAAGTGCAGTGCATGTATTGAGAGATTTAGCAGTATTGATGAACTGAACGAATTTTCAAACTATCTTTTTAATACATGATAATTGCTCGACAACGTCTTAAGCTCTTAGACCAGTATTGAAAACAATTCAAGCTAAGAACTTATGAATATAAATCTTCATTAACTTCAAACTATTCCTGCAATTATCATTCTTAAGACGTCACGTCTTGAAGCGATACAAGCAACTCAAATTTTCACATAAAACTTTCTCTGTCTAATTCTATAACAGCTTAAATAGCCATGTTACGGTTAAGCGCAATCAGATTCGTTATGTTTAGGACCAATTTTACCTTTCATTCCTAATTAGCATGTAGGAGGAGAGCCAATACTTTTGATCTTACGGTAAGTTATATAAGACATTCCTGTAGTGTGTATCCTCGAATGTCCATCATATTCTAAGAACAAACCGTAGGAACACAAAGTCCCTGATTGTGTTTTTCTAGGCAACGTATTCTTCGTGTATTTTAAATGATGAAATAAGTAAGATTTAAAAAAAGTTAAAATTATTTAAAGTCCCCTTCAATTGTTTTACTTAATATATTCAAGAATCTAGTAATAATGTGTGTTACTGTGGAATCAATAAATGCTCTGTTGATATACTTATGCAATACTGTAATATAATACATTTGCAGGATAATATGGGCATAACGAAAAAACATTTGTATTTTAAATTGACTTGCTGTCACACATGGGCTTCTCCCCGTTTGACTTCATAAGTGATAAGTGTTAATAAAACTATTGATTGGTAAGGTTAAGCTGAAATAATCAAAACAGAATACAGCAATAAAACAAATAATCACACCTGATTTTAATAAGGTAATAAATTGAAAGAACTACATACAAATAAGTACAGCTGAGGTATTTTTAACATAAGGTATATGGAAAGTTCTCTTTAGAAAGGAATTACGACCTTAAAGGGCAATTTATGGAATAATGGATATGGATAAACCATGGTTTTGCGCAAGGTTTCTCGTCATGACGAACATTTTAAGTATATGGTTTATGGGGTTACGACTTATAGTTTTCTCAAAAGTTCATGGGTACTTTGGGCTTTATATATAGATAAGGCGCTTGATCAACATTGTTGGCTTAACAAACTGAATGGAATTTTGCAAAAACTAATATATGTATATATTTATCATAAAATCTTCGCTTTATTAAGGATTTAGTTATTATTGATTGAACTGTTGATTACATTTGAACTTAAATTGTTAAATCAACATACTTATAATATTATATGAAATGTCATAAAAATATCTCTTTACAACTAAAATCTTAAAATTTTAAAACTTTAATCAACTAAAATTTGATATTATTACTGTGAGTATATTATAATTATAACTATTTTTCCAGCTTAAGACCTATTTGATATAATCCTTTACTCACTATAAAACTTCTTTCGTCCAATTTGTGCAATGCTTAGAAGTCCACAAGTATGTAGTATTTAATTCATAAATTTATGTAGTAGATTTATTAAAAACTGAATATTAGAAATCTAAACTCATATTAGACTTAAAAATGGCCAACACAACATGGCATGTCGTCGAGGAAAAGATTATTAAATGATAGATGGGGAATGATTGAGTAGTTAGCTTTTTAGCATGACCATTCTTGCACGTAAAACAAAAAAAAAAAAAAGAAAATAAAAAAAAACCTTTTTTAAGTTTTTTTATTTTTAATTATTGGAAATTAATTTTACAAGGAATATATCCAATCCAGTCAAAGTAAAAAAATTGTGACCCAGAGTCAAAATATACATAGGCATTTTCATGCAGTTTCATTGTAGCCTATGGCTTCACTTTATTTTCGTACATAACTAAATTCATAGGAACGAAAATAATGCAAAATAATTAAATACGTTGGGTTTTAATCCATATAAAATTTATTGCAGGGGGGGGTTTAATACGTATTAAATAGCTATTTACATAGAATGATCTACTTAATCTTAAAATAATATCAGGGTAGAACAAAAATAATAGACTGAGTCAAAACTGTGGCAAATATGTTCTAGCATTCTTCGAATGAAAGATTTTTACTTTTTGCAACATTTATTTCAAGTAGGCCTATTTTTTTAATGGGCTTGAAAATCTTTTTAAGACTTGAAAGTGACACATTGAAAACAAGGCACTGTTGGTCTATATTTTTAATAAATCACCGAAAAAACATTTTTGAGTCTGAATTCTGCGTCATCCGTGTTAAATATTTTTTGGAAAAATATATATTTACTAAAATTTTTTTTTGCCAAAAAACAATGTTTGAGAGGGAGTAAGTCGTGAAATAAAGTTCACCTACGAACGTTTTTTTTAAGTAGCCGTTTCAGTTAAGTTCTTAGAATTGAAACGTTTCACATAACATCATTGTTTACTTTCATAACAGCATAGTTTTACAACAACACGAGTAACGGACGAAGGACCAATGAGGTTCAAGGATTGAGAGAAAAGTAAAATTGCAAAGATTCGAACTTCAACTAATCAGCTGTTCAGGCCAATTTAATTGTTGAGTGGTGGAATTAGTGTTTGGCTCAATGTTTCGTTGCATCACTGTCAGTGGCAATGAGAGGTTATAAACGAAAACATAACCTGTCTTACAAGTTACGAGTAGTTATTTTTTAGAAATTAAAACAATGTCGTAGGTAACGTATTGTACGCAACTAGCGTAAATAGTGCTAACTCAATTGTTGCGTAAACTACTATGTATAACTTCATGAGAAACGCCGCAGAAAATAGATTTCCTTAACGTTGTACTCGATTGGTTTGCTCAATTTAAAAAACGATTTTGTGCTGATCTTTTTGCATCTAATTGTTGATCTCAAAATAAAATAATCAGTGTTAGTTTTAATTGTTATTAAATTAAAATGTCAGGTTCTTCAATACAACATATTTTAAAAGATTTTATTAACCTTCACAATATTTATTTTGATTATATTGTTAATTTATTGACCAAAATTTCCAATACTATCAAAACCTGTACTTTTGGTATTTTTTAAGAGTTTTCTTATAACTTAAAACACTATACCATTCTTCATTAATCAATGTTAATAAAACTAAACGCTGTTAGATGTGCCTTTAATTTTTTTTTGCGTAGGATGTACCTGTACTTTCGCATTAAGTAAATAGTTATGTTTGGATCATTTTCCAATTCAGCCACCAGAGACACCAAAAGAAAGTTCCTTTGAACCATCTAAATCATTGTATTATCAAGAGCTCTAAGATGAATCAAAATGAAACATTTCGGTATAGGGTACCTGGAACATTTTTTACCATTCAGTGTTTACTTATTTAGTTGATTAATGGATAGGAGTTTAAGATTAAAATATATCTGCACATATTGTTACGTTTACACATCTAAGCGGTTTACAGATTACAGAAACTTACTATATAGATCCTGACCTTTTACATTAATATGAGGGAAGAATACAGCCTATTTGTTTTTTTAACACCCTTTGGATAATAATGTAGTTGCAAGATGTATCTTCAAAATATTTAGGTTATTTTCCTGCTTTACAACACCAGCTAAAAAACATAAAACCGCTTGAATATGTTATGTAGTTTAATATTGGCAACAAATTGATTGGCAACAAAATTATTACCTTAGTCAACTTTCAATATTATTTTATGTAAAAAAATAAAAATATGACAGCGTGGCAATTTCTGGTATAAATGATATTGGCTATTTAATTGTACAGGACATCAAAATGTTGTATAATTTCTATGGTCCGAGCAAAATAATTCTCCTGCACAACTTTATTACAAAATGTAGCTACAATTACTAAAAATATTTATATGTGAACTGAACTTTAGTTAGGCAAAATGAAATATTTAATAGATGATAGTAAAAAGGCCATTTTATTGTTACCCTAGAAGGCTAAAAGGCTAATTTGTTTCCCCAACCCCAAGACTTTCCTTTGAACATTTAGCTTGTATCCATAGAAAGGATGTACTAGGCGATACAAGACCTTCATTGGACGAGGAATCTGCTCGGAACAGGCATGCTTCATGGATGGGTCAAATAATTGGATAACGCGTACGGTCATAGCTTTTCAAAGAAATTTAAGATTGATTGGTAGTAAATAGAAGATGGTTCGTGACTCTTAAAATGGATAAACTCAATACGAAGCTTTTACTCTTGATTGATTTTTTCCGAAGGAAAGTGTTAACGACATAATACATGTTTTAAAAGATCAAGTCAACTATTTCTTTCGTGTAAATTAATCTTCAATTGCCGTATTTACTTAAATATTGTAACGAATCAAGTGCACGATGATTATAAAGAATATTTTGCTAATATTTAAGGGCCTATTTGGCAATAAATATCATGTTTAATTTAAGACCTGGTCAAAATGAATAAATAAGACTCATTATAGGTATTTATTTTACCTATTTGTTTTAAAACTACTATATATTTTAAGACAATATAGCACCATTATTAATAAACATTTGAATTAATTAACACATAAACTGACTTCTGTCTGCCAAAGTTTCTTCCAGTGTTCCAATTACAATAAAATAGAAAATTTTCCACTTCTGTAATCTGGTTCATTGACCTACTCCCGTTTACTTTTTCACCTACTAAACGTTTACAACTAGGAACTATAGTAAAATAAGAAATGTGTTTATCACCCCTGGCTTGGCAAGTGCCACATAATAAAACGTGCTATCAGTAAAGAGAAGACATATGAAGATAACAGTACAAATATAGCAAATCAAATTCTACCAGATAGCGTTTAGACATAGTCGATGAGTGTTCGTTTAGGGTAAAGGTAAAAATGATCACTCTACTGGCAGGTGAGTAAATCTTATTTCTTATTGTTATTTTGATATTTAAACCCATCGTGATATAATCTCTTGCCTTTTAAATGCACGTTTGTGAACTTCAAAGGATATTCAAATCTTGAATGCTGAAATTGTTTTAGGATATACTTGTAATATTGTGGGGTTTTCACGTTGTGGACTAATGGTTAGAATTGACTTTAGTATGAACTTTAAATATTCATGTGGTTCGAGTTAACTCCTTTCTTGACTCATCAATAAGGCTATATAAAAGCTTGAAGAGTTTAAATTCATTCATTGGAGAGTACTGTGATATTCAATGTTGTATTAATATTGTCTGTGTTGTTGGTTTGAACTAAATAGAATAGAGAAACCGGTGATAAAGATACAAACAGACTATTAAATATAAACTAAAATGTTACTTTGAACTATTTTTGTTCTGGTTGTGCTTGGAAAAATATAATTTTTATTTGGCGTTTTTTGTCCAAATAAATAAACTCATTGCAAACATATCATTTGTAAACGATTAAGGTACTCTATAAATTACAAAAATATGTTTTTAAAAAGACCGTTTATTTGTTTATAAATACGCTAAACCTAATGTTTTATCTGTTTGATATATCTATTCCTATATATGTTTTAACAGCATGTTTTATTTATTATAAAATATGTTTGAAACCTTTTAGTATTTAAAGAAGGTTGATAAGGGAAATAGTAACGATATTTATTTATATTGATTCAACATTCTTCCTAATCGTCTAAAGAAGTCTTTTTACTATGTTACTAGATACTTAAATATTTTGAACTACGAAGCAAAATATTTAAATTCTTCATTAGTACAACTGATCATATCCTTAATTAAAGGTATAAAACTAATTGGATGATATAAACCTTTAGATTATAATAATAAAAAGAAAATACCTTGCAGGGCAAAGTTTGTTTTATATTGGACATTTTCTTTGTTCTTTAAATTTAATTAATTTCATTCATTATTTTAAATACATAGGTTAATCCGGAAAATGTTTTAGAATAGCCTTATGATTTTAAATATAAATGGAAAGTAAAATTTTCTAAATCTAAATTGACTGCGTAGATCGAACGTCATCGATGAAACGATAACGACAAATAAAAACACTTACTAACTGATTCACAAGAAAAATAGGCATCCTTTAAGTGAAATTTATTTCATATATATGCAGTAAGGTGATTCACAGTATTTTTTCAAACAAACAACCTCGTGTTTATAAAATACCTAAATTAAATTACAATTAGGCCTAATATTAATTTTAAAACTTCTAAAACTAAGTAAACAACCGAACACATAGCATTCCCTTTTAAGCTCTATCAACATTGTGTTTGATTTTATTAGCTAGCTAAACGGATCGTTCTATTATAATTGTCAATTTAGATTTTAATCTTAATTTTACCACGACGACCTTACTTAACCATAGTAAATAGTTTAATAAAAATAATTGATTTTGCTAAACTGGTTGTATACAATGATAATACTCTATTACAACAGTTTTTATTCTCATTACTATTCGAAACACTGAAGGATTTTTTAAAGAAATCCAAAATTGGGAAATGAATTTAATATTTTATTGACTAGCTCTGCTCTACATAAATCAGGTTATTATAAACTAAATAAGTAGCTTTTAATACATCTTTACAACCACTGTCAGCATTAAAATTATAGATTTTCCCTAGAATTTTGATCACATTTATATCAAGAGTATAAAATGAAAATTAACACATTTATGTTGGGGAATAGTAGCTTAGATAAACTTGTTGCCATGATTTTACGTGGGTTAAACGTAAAATCTGTTTTTGATGAATGTACGTGCTTGTCCATTCTCTGTAAAATAATTTAAATTATTGTGAATTGTTATTATAAGTTTGGAACATATGCTCATTAAAGATTTGTTTTGAGTGTGTCACATCATAAGGCAAAATTTTGAAATTCGAACTTCTCTATTTAACCTTTTAGCTTTATTATAAACATAGTTACAACTTAATTTGTGAACTTAAGTGAGTTATTTTGAACGCGAATGATTGAGCTTTCCTTAAAAGGTTAATACTGAGATACAAAAGATTTTTCAAATTTTTCGTACCTATGGGATGCAAATGATAATGGTAAGAATCTTTTTTTACATAAGAAAAATCTTATCACGCTATCATTTTAATAGCCCAATGTCAGTATAAATAAAAATTAAAACTGTTTCCATGCTCAACAAAAACATAAATATTTTAAAATAACATTTTAGTTGATATTTAATAACATTTTTGTATCTTTATCCCCGGGTTTTCAATTGTATTAGTTCAAACCAACATCACAGTCAAAACTAATACAATATTATATAAGATTATGTGCAGAAGTTTGGGGATGGATAGGGGGCTATTACGATTGGACTAATTTCGAGTATGCGAGTTGATGTAAGCTTGATTCTGGGTGGTTGTAAAGCATTAGAGTTGACAATTTTGTTTGGTTGAATATGATGATCAACGCTTGTTGTGCATGATTTTTGCTATGTACTATGAAAAGAAAGTTGTTTTATGTTTTAATACATATTTTTATTCTGTACAAAATTCTTGTAAGTTAGCTTTTCAGTGAAACAAAACAAATACAAAATTAATGTAAACCAAGTCATATGATAAATAAAAGAAATTAGGAAACAGTTGGTTAAACACAGCACCTCTACCCTAATTTTTAGAATCGCATGTTCATTCTTGTAACCGGTTGTTTTTTCCTTGAGCTTCTTCTTAAGGCAGGGTTTGAGGCTTGACCGTTTGGTAGAGGAGCTAGAGGTTGGTTAAAGTGACCTTCATCTTCAGTATGGTTGTTGATCACATGATCATTTGCTCCCTGAAGCTCTTGATCTTGAATTGTAGGCCCTATAGGAAGTTTGATATTAATTGAGTAGTCAAGCTCAAGGAAAAAACAACCGGTTACAAGAATGAACATGTGATTCTAAAAATTAGGGGAGAGGTGCTGTGTTCAACCAACTGTTTCCTAATTTCTTTTATTTATCACATGTATTTGTTTACATTAATTTTGTTTTACGAAAACTCCGTAGGAAATTTAGGTTGTAACAAATCTGTAAGTGTTCCAATAACAGGTAGCAGTGTTATTGTCTTGTTTTCCTCAGAAATATTGTTGAATACAAAAGCTATTTCTAGTCAATGTCCAACTGTTCCATGTTTCTTCATTATCATCAAAGGGTTCAAAAATAAAGTTCCTCGTCGCCATCTGCTATATACTATGAAAAGAAAGTTGTTTTATGTTTTAATACATATTTTTATTCTGTACCAAATTCTTGTAAGTTAGCTTTTTTCAGTGAAACAAAACAAAACAAAATTAATGTAAACAAAGTCATATGAAAAATAAAATAAATTAGGAAACAGTTGGTTGAACACAGCAATTTTTATCGTGAGAAACATTGATGATGAAAGTAACGATTCTTTAACTTGAAAACTAAGGATTGCATTAACACAATTTTTCCTTCCTCTTTCGTAGTTCTACTTGGGTGCCATGCAGTCTTTGGAGTCACGGCGCCTCAGCCGCATCCAAATTATCCCCACCACCACCATGCCAACAGCGGGCCCCACCCTGGACCCCTGCCGCAGCCCCAGCCAGGCCCAGGCCCCATGATGAACGGTCCCATGGCCGGTGGACCCCTGTCTGGAGGTCCCAACCCCTACGCCGCAGCAACCCCGTCTCCCGACGCCATCGCCGCTGCCTACGCCTCCGCCGAGGCCCTCCCTAGAGTGCCCCACCACAGCCTCTTGTCCGGCCCCAACAACGGACCCAACCCTGGACCGAGATCTGAGCCTGTGCCTTTCCCCTACTCGAACCCAGAGGCATTCCCCTTCCCACATCCTGAGGCCATCCCCTACCCGAACCCCGAAGCTGTCCCCGCCCCGCGCCCTGACCCGTATGCCCTGCCATACCCTATGCCCTTCCCCGTCAGCTACCCACAGCCTAAGCCTGAGGCTTTCGCTCAACCAATGCCTTCACCTTACGCTCAGCCACAGCCCTCTGCCCAGCCTCAACCTCAACCTCAGCCAAACCAACAGCAGCAACAACAACCTCAGCCACAGGCCATGCCCTCAGCTTATCCTCAACCACAACCTTGGGCTGATCCCAACGCTTACGCAGCACCTCAGCCAGCTCCCCAGCCTGCTGCTCAGCCTAACCCGTACGCGTGGGCCGAACCGTACCCTGCCGCACAACCTGCTGCCTACCCGTCCGCTCAGCCTTGGGCCGACCCCAACGCCTACGCCACACCTGCTCCTCAGCCTCAACCACAACCTCAGCCCCAACCCCAGCCTTACCCCCAGCCGTACGCTGACCCTAATGCTAACATGTACCAGAGTGGACCTAACCCTAACCAAAACTTCCAGTCAGGACCTGCCCCTAACCAGAACTACCAGTCTGGACCTAACCCCACACAAAACTTCCAGTCTGGACCCAACCCTAACCAGAACTACCAGTCTGGACCCAACCCCACACAGAACTACCAGTCTGGACCCAACCCAACACAAAACTACCAGTCTGGACCCAACCCTAACCAGAACTACCAGTCTGGACCCAACCCCACACAGAACTACCAGTCTGGACCCAACCCTAACCAGAACTACCAATCTGGCCCTAACCCCACTCAGAACCAGAACTACCAGTCTGGTCCCAACCCAAGTCAAAACTACCAATCAGGCCCCAACCCATCTCAGAGCTACCAGTCAGGCCCCAACCCATCTCAGAGCTACCAGTCCGGACCTAACCCAAGCCAAAACCACCAGTCTGGACCCAACCCATCCCAAAACTTCCAGTCTGGACCCAACCCTAGCCAGAACTACCAGTCTGGACCCAACCCTAGCCAGAACTACCAGTCTGGTCCTAACCCCAACCAAAACTACCAGTCAGGCCCTAACCCAACCCAGAACTACCAGTCTGGACCCAACCCTAGCCAGAACTTCCAATCTGGACCCAACCCCACCCAGAACTACCAGTCAGGCCCCAACCCTGGACCTCGCCCGTCCGCTGACGCTAAACCTTCACCGTTCCCCGACCCAGAAGCCTTTGCCAGAGGACCACAACCTGGTCCTAGACCTGCTGCTGAGCCCAAGCCTGTGTCTTCTCCTTTCCCTGATCCTGATGCATTCATCAGAGGACCCCAGCCCGGCCCACAGCCCCAACCAGAGGCCCAGCCCAAGCCACAGCCCAGCGCTCAGCCACAGCCCAAACCCCAGCCCAACGCTCAGCCACAGCCAAAAGCCAAAGCTGATCCCTTCTACCGCTAAGTAATCCTTTGACTTTAGATGTATCTAGTAGATTATTTAAATATAGAACTTTTGTTACTTATTATTTTTATTTCCCTGTTATTATTATCACTGTGTTTTCCACCATTTACCACACACCTAATGGAATGGCTCTGTGTTTCGCTCACTAGCTTCTATAAAATATATTACTGACATACCTTAGGAAAACTTACGAAATAATCCACAAGAGTTTGTTCGTTGCTCGACTGTTATTCTTGTTAAAGGCGGTGACACACTATCGATCTTTTCCCCGATCAAGACCCCGAACCGAGCAGGGAGAAGGGAGAAGGGAGATAAATATCAGCAAAATTTTACTCCGAACATTTCCCCGAACATGACCAAGACCAGACGAATTCTACCGAGCGCGGTAAAAGGAAGTTTGGAGAGAGATAGAGAGTGTGTGCGAGTGAGAGCGCGGAGGCAGTGCCGTGGAAGAGGGAGGGGGGTGCATTGACCAAAGTCAAAAAGTTTCTATAACATAAAAATTATTGTTAAAAGTCGCATTTTGAAAACTTGTCGCAAAAATAAAATATTCTAGAAAGGATGCTTAGTTATATCTATTGATTTCTATTGGTTTTATTCATTGAAATAACGTTACAGAATGATCATTTTAATTGCCTTTAATAATATTAATGTTTATATTATTTTTGAAAGAATTTAAGTCAACATCAATTACTTAATTCAACCTTAATATTATTGATATAATTGATTTAACGGTTTCTACACTTTCAACCTTGACCAAACAAACCACAAACATTACATCTTAAATGATTATAATATATAACGGCAACATATTACCCAACATTTATTTATTTTACCAATTAAAGAGTTTAATTGCCATATTAAATCAGAACTATCAATGCTAGTGCAGGCGGCCGCTCGGTGCGGCGCTCGCGACGATGTACGGGGCAAAAATGTACCGTGACACACTATCGTACATCGGACCGTACATCGGACCGATCTTTTCTTTGATCTTTCGCCAAAAAACCGCCTCCAGAGCGCTCGTCTCCCTGCTCGGCCTGATGTCTTGTTCGGCGTCTTGATCGGTGTACGGACCCGTGACACACTATCGAACATCCTCCCTTCGACCTCCCTTCTCCCTTCTCCCTGCTCGGTTCGGGGTCTTGTTCGGGGAAAAGATCGATAGTGTGTCACCGTCTTAAGAGTTTGCCTAAGCAATAAATCAATATTTGAGACCGGAATGCTATTATGGCGCGTTTAAATAAAGTATGTTGTATTATTGGACTTTTTGTCTAGATCAATTTTTTTTATCTCGTACGGTTTCATTTTATAGACATTTAGATACATTTAAGTTCATTGTTTAGCTTCAATAACAAAATACTCATGTATATATTGATGTTTGAGTTTTAATTAACCTTGCACAGCATTCCGTTTTTTTAATATCAAAAATTGTATTCCTATTTCACTGCCCTTTCAATAAACTCCTCGGGACAATTTATAGGACCATTACAGCCTGTATTATCACGTAAATGTCTAATTGATATAACGCTAATTATAAATTAAATGCAACAGGTGAAATGTTAGTAAATCTATTAAACATGTTTGTGCGGATATATTTTAAATAGTTAAACAAAGATCATGAGTTAAACAACTAAACCATAAAAATAGTTGATAAAAACTCAGTACCCAATAAAAAACCAATGCCACCGTCTTATAAACATATCCTATTATTAAACATATCATATTACAGTATAATATACCTTACCTCAAAAAATGAAACCTACCTTCAGTTCCCATTAAAATTAGTGGTTATGTCATGGGGATGGACTAGACATCGATCCATTCAAAAGCTGATCCTATTCGCATTCCTCGTCAGACTAGGTGGTTCTCAAAGAATATCTTGACAAAGAGGCCGAGCTCTTCTCACATATACAAACACCCTACACCGGATACCGCTGAAGGTGTAGGGTGGAAGGAAGGGGATGGCACACAATGACACAATTGTGGCCAAGTTTGCAGGAAAACACCTGAGCTCAGATTGCTACAAAGCGAGCACAGCGCTCCTGGTGGCTAGGGTGACTAAACACAACCGGCTTCCGGTCCTTTGAAGCTGGATACCCGACTGTGGATTACTAGTAGCGGGGCACTAATGATAGTTTGAGCGAACGGTTTCGTTTGAGGCACGCCTAATGGAAATTGTGTGCATCAATAGCATCAAACAATGACAAAAATATTTCTCGTTTTTTGACAATAATATTATTTAGTAACATTGTACCTATTTATGTATTGTTGCAAAGAATTGTATGAAATTGTAAATTTATACGCTTCAGATATATGGCAAATACAAATATGATTACCTTAAGTCTATAAAGCAAAGACAAATACATGTCTTATCACTGTTTATGCGCATGTGTTGGTATTGAAAGAAAATACCGATCTTAATAGTGTGGTGGCCTAGATGTATCACAATAAAATGTTTAAGGTAAAGCCTGTTGTTAGATTTTACATATTTTCCTTGAAGAAATGTAAAACATAATTAAGTGTATTAATATTTTTTTCGTCCTAAAGATTACATAAACGAACACACTTTTAAATGCTTTGTAAGAATAATTAAGTTTAGTCTGTTTTAGTTGCTAACAAATTGTTAACAACAGATATGAATAGTAATGTTTAAACAATTTGCCTGGAGTTCACAAATGAAAATGGCTGAAAAAGAATGTTCTAAATTCTTTGAATGTGCCCAACCTATTAAAATGTTGGAGTTTTAAATTTTCTTTCAAAGAGAATTAAAACACTTTCTAAAAGATTTCCCATTAAAATCTATTTGATCTTCATAGTAGTAGGGACATACGTTAACATTTAGACATAGATAATTTTGTATCCTTCCTAAATCTCTCTCTTAATTGTGTAAATAAAAAAAATTGGAACTTACCCGTAATACCAACTACTGAGTCGAACACCGAAGATAAGAAACAGAGAGGAAGGCAATGTTGCGATGTTTCCAGCCGAACGAGTTACAATTGAAGGAGTTGGACCAATCGGTTCTTTGTAGAGGCTGATTCTGGCGGAAAATTGAGGCACCGCAGCCAATTTCCGAACCGATAATCTTTAGGTGACAGTTTCACAGGAGGGGAAGTTTACACCCTTCAGTGGGTCCGGTGAAAGACCACCCGCTCTAACGCCTCTGCTATTGTCACTGGACAAGAAGGGTCTGTAACAAAAGTGTTACAATGATTGGTATAGGTAGTTTTAAAATAATATTTAAGAGATTTTTGACATTGCTGCTAGCGAGAATCTTACAGATAATAAAGGATTCTCCCAACCTTTTAGATATTTACATTTTTCCAATTTTAAGACAGTGAATAACATATTACTGTATGTAATACTGGTTGTACATTTAAACCAGACACACAAGTCATCGTTGGTCACTCTGTTCAAACTATCTGTGTGATTACAGTACATCAAATAGGATTCAAAGCAGCGTTCAAAGACTTATTTTATTATTTCCTTATTATATTTCAGATGGATCGTTAACATTGCTTTCAGTAACACGCCCTACTCCTTTATCACTTCATCAAATTTTGTGAAATCGGTATAGGCGGTACGTTTTGTTAAAAATGTTTTGTATGTTAAACATCTGTGTTTTTATAATAATTCTATAATAGTATTTTTCACCACACTAAGATGTTTTTGGCTGTATTACATACGTTAATTTGTGGCTGAAAGTTACGTTTTGCTGGCCATAACAGCTGTCATCGTAATTTGGGGACCGAGCAGGTTTTTACAGGCCCCGGGGCCGCAAAATCAGCTGTCCGCTTACTTACTTAAAACATGAATGCATTTTAAATACACAATCAAAATCCATAGCATTGCAATATAATTAATTGTGTTATTGTCAACGTTGCCTAGCAACTATTTATTTTTATTTTTGCTGATTCCTCAAATTATTTCTTCACATAACCTTAAAGTTGTAGTTGTGTTGACTATCAGTGTGCATTATTATAGTGGTGAATAGTGGTAATAGGGTATATAGTGTGGTGAAAAATAGCGTTCGTACCACGGACCGAAATGGTTTTGCAGCTCTCGATAAATTTAAGTTCTCGACTTCGTCTCGAACTTAAAAACTATCTCGAGCCGGCAAAACCTCATTTTCGGCCCTAGGTACGAAATATACTATTACGTTTATAGTAATGTTAATGCAACAAATGTTTTTTTTTGTTTATGAAGTATGAAGTAAACACCATAAACAATATCGTCAAACTAAACTTCCATATACTACATACTCGTCAATATTCGATTCAAACCATTGCCAAAACTGAAAGTTTGTAAACTCACTAGATTATCATCAAACTGGAAGCTGCCTCACTGAGTGTGACCTAATTTCTCTTCAATACTCACAAACTTGTAACTAGCAGAGTTTTTAAAAGTTTAAGTCATCGTAAGCAAACGTCCCAGTCAATGATCCGTGGTGATATAACTCACTGAAAGAATCATTCCGTCTTGATAACGACGAAACTTGCCAAGAAATCAGCCAACTTCTTCTATAAAGAAAGACGTTTTCCTCATTATTTATTGCAATGGTTTTCCTGGACTTAAGTTTCCTGTTTTCATGTAGTACAAGGTGTAAAAGGGAGATAACATAGATTTTCATGTCGAATAAAAATTGATTATTAGAATCAATATAATAAATCACATATGTTCATATGGTCATATGTAGTTGAGGCAGATTTTCAAAATAGTAAGATCAAAAGAATAGTTGCAAAAATTTAGTAGTATAGTTTTCTTACTATACGCTCAATCTAGCCAGCTTTAGAATACATGGTTTAATCAAGCCACCAAGAAAGTGTGCTGTTGTCAATTTATTACTAATTTCTGCCATATATACAGATTGTTTAGTTGTTAGACTAGAGTATCGGCCTGGTAATTTTCACAATAGTTCACTCTGTAAGAAATGTATTAAACATTATACTCTAAAAAAAATACTCGATGTTTCCTTTAGATGAGTAATCAATCCGAGTGTCCAAAAAACATATTCCAAAAGTTTCCTTTTTCTTCATAGAAATCTATACATTAACAGTGAATAAATCAGAA